ACATAAAGGTAGGGAGCAGGAGCATGAAGAACAGATGGACTGTAGATTTGGCCAATTCCAACAAGGAAGTGAAACCACAAAACCAATGGTACAAGTCAAGGTCGGGTCAACCCTCATCCCTGCTCTTCTCAATTCAGGGTGGGCCAAGACCATGATCTGGGAAGGGATAATTGATCCATAGGAAGGGGAACCCAACACCAGCATTAGCATGATATGCATCCATGGGGAATCCTACACCTATTCCTGAAGAAGGCTATGGTTAACAGTAATGAACTGGATAGAAGAGATTTCTGTGGGGTTCGCCCTGACACTGCCTTGCCCCATGCTGGTAGGGCAGGACTGGCCCTATTTTTACAAAGCACTAGACCAGGTCCGGGGGAAAGACAATCTACTGGAGGATAGACGTGGGGAAGACTTAGGAGATGGATGCCAAGCAGAGGAGGACACAACCCACGAGAAAGAAAGGGGTGCCCCCAACATTGATCTAAGTGAGATCATTGGAGAAGATTTTCATGGTAAGCAGGCCACTGAGCCAGCCTTTGGACTAGAGGAAAATGTCACCAAAAGAGGGTGTGGTCGAGAAGCCCGAGCTACTAGCAACATATCCATACTTTGAGGTAAAGGGCTGCATCCTATATAGGATCGAAAAAGGGAAGGTCCCTGGGGAAGAGATAGAACAGATATTGGTGGTGCAGTGTTATCAACAGGCCCTGATACAGATAGCACATGCCCTACCCTTGGGGGGCATCTAGGGAGGGATAAGACCATCACATGACTTATGATGCACGCTTACTGGCCGGGTCTCCATAAACAGGTGGGCCAGTTCTGCAGATCATGTTTGGAATGCCAGTGGTAACCAGACTGCCTACCACCCCGGGTCCCTATGCAGCCCTTAGAAATAGTATCAAAGCCTTTTGATAAAACTGCACGTGATGTAATTGGACCACTCTCTAAGAGTACTTCCTGGTACCAATTCACCCTCATTATAGTTGATTATGCCACATGTTACCCCAGTGCGATACCCATGGGGCTGGCGACAGCTCTCAGGGAGGTGGAAGAGCAGTGGGGATCCCAAGGGAGATAACTCATGGACCAAGGCACCAACTTTATGTCAAGGGTTCTAAAAGGCGTGTGCGAAACCTTCAGGATTTGACACTTAAGGATTTCGGTTTATAACTGCAAACTGATGACCTGTTTGAGTGGTTCAACAAGACCCTGAAGTCCATGATTCGAAAATGTATTCAGGGAGACACAAAAAGGTGGGACCTGTGTATACCCCCCATGCTGTTTGCAATTCATGAGGTACCCTAGGCCTCCCTTGGCTGTTCTCTTGTTTCATAGTTGGTAGGATCTGAAGGGACCTAAGCAGATCGTCTAGTCCGCCCCCCTGCCATGGGCAGGAAAGGATGCTGGGGTCAAATGACCGCAGCCAGGTGGCTGTCTAGCCTCATTTTGAAGACCCCCAGGGTAGGGGCAAGCCCCACTTCCCTTGGAAGTTGGTTCCAGCTCCTAGCAGCCCTGACAGTGAAGTAGTGCCTCCTGATATCTAGCTCTAATCTACTCTCAGTCAATCTTATGGCTGTTGTTCCTTGTTACCCCCGGTAGTGCTTGGGGGAACAGGGACTCTCCCATTGCCTGCTGGTCCCCCTTGGCAAGTTTATAGGTGGCCACCAGCTCCTATCTCAGCCTTCTCTTGTGGAGGCTGAACAGGTTCAGGTACCATAGCTTCTCCTCATAGGGCTTGCCCTGCTGCCCCCTAATCATGCGAGTGGCCCTCCTCTGGACCCTCTCCATGTTGTCCACATCCCTCCTGAAGTGCAGCGCCCAGAACTGGATGCAGTAGTCCAACTGTGGCCTGACCAATGTTGCATAGATTGGGAGGATCACCTCCTTGGACCTGCTCGTGATGCATCTATGGATGCATGAGAAAGTGTGGTTAGCCTTCCTGACTGTGTCCCCACATTGGCAGCCCATGTTCATCTTGGAATCAATAGTGATTCCAAGATCCTTCTCTGCCTCTGTGCTGACGAGAAGGGAGTTCCCTAGCCTGTAGCTATGCTGCTGGTTCTTCTTCCCCAGGTGCAATACCATGCACTTGTCCATATTGAAACCCATCCTATTCTCATCCACCCATCTCTGTAACCTGTTGAGAACTAGTTGTAGCCTGTCCCTCTCTTCTAGCATGCTCACTTCTCCCCACATCTTAGTGTCATCTGCGAACTTGAACAAGCTGCTTTTTCACCCTTTTGTCCAAATTGCCAATGAAGATATTGAACAGTGTGGGCCCGAGGACTGAGCCCTGGGGAACCCCACTACCCACATCTCTCCAGGTAGAAAATGACCCATCTACCACCATTCTCTGGGTGCGGCCCTCCAGCCAATTTGCAACCCATCTGACTGTGTAGGTGTCGACACCACAGACGCCTAATTTTTTTAATGAGGATGGTGTGAGAGACAGTGTCAAAGGCCTTCCTAAAGTCCAGGAAGACTACGTCCACCGCAACACCTGCATCCAAGGTTTTTGTGACCTGGTAATAGAAGGCCACCAGTTTGGTCTGACAGGATCTGCCTCTAATGAACCCATGTTGATTGCCCCTAAGCATAAACTCCCCTGCTGACCCCTCACAGATGTGCTCCTGGATAATTTTCTCAAAAATGTTTCTGTTGAACTGATCTTTCTTTGGTCATAAACCTCAAAGTCTGCTTGACATAGTCCATGAAGGCTGGGAAGAAGAGACACCAGGAGGCAGTGAGAATGAACACCAGATCCAAGAGATGTGGGGATGGTTGGAGAGGGTAAGACAGATTGCCCAGGCCAGCCAAAAATTAAGGTATGACCTCGATACTCAAACACAAGAATTACAGGAAGGAGATTTGGTGTTGGTAATGCCCGACAACACCAGTAAATTAGTGTCTAGGTGGTATGGGGCCCTTTAAGGTAAGTAGGAAAGTGTGCCCCATTAACTATGAGATAGAGTGCCCATGCACATGTAGGAGTAGACAAGTCTAGCATGTGAATATGTTAAATAGATGGAAAACTTTAAGAACTACCTCATGGATCCCCGGGAGGTACCTGAGGAATGGGTCCCAGAGTCCACAGGAAGCCACGACAAACCCAAACTGGCCCCGGTGGTGGAGAACTGTTACCCCATGGGGGATGGGAGCAACTCGAGTGCATGGTGTAGGAGTACAAAGATGTCTTTGCAGAAGTACCAGGCCATGCTAGAGGGATATGTCATCGAATCAGAATGAGCACTGGACAGGTGGTGTGAGAACACTGGAGGAGGCTACCCCAGGCTCTCTACACACCGTTATTAAAGGAATTAAAAGAGATGTTATCTCAAGGCATCACTGAGGAATCCCTAAACCCCTGGAGGAGTCCTCTGGTGGTGGTCCTGAAACCAGATGGGGCTACAAGACTTTGTGTTGATTTTTGAAAGGTGAACAGTATCTCCTCCTTTGATGCTTTTCCAATACCCAACATAGAGGAGATGCTGGAGAAAATAGGGCAGGCCGAGTTTATTTTGACCCTGGATTTAACAAAGGGCTATTGTCAAATCCCTATGGCACTGGAGGACAAGGTGAAGACTGCCTTTGGTACACCTTGGGGCTTGTTTACCCAGATGCCTTTTGGCCTACACAGGGCAGCTGCTTTTTTCCAGAGACTGATGCGCCGAATCCTGGTAGTACATCAAGAGTATGTGGTGGCCTATATTGATGATATAGTTGTCTTTTCAGGAACCTGGGAACAACATGTGAGACATGTGAGGAACATCTTAGAAGAGCTGAGACACAACGGGCTGACAACCAACCCCAAGACGTGTGCCCTGGGACAATCAGAAACTAAGTATTTGGGGTTTAAGGTAGGATGGGGGAGAATAATCCCCTTCGCTGACAAAGTGGAAGCGATACAGTTTTACAGACTGCCCCAAACGAAGAAACAACTGAGGTCCTTCCTTGGTTGGTGAACTATTCCCGGCGGTCATACCCTGGTTCTCAGAAATGGCCACCCCCTTACAGGCCTACTACAGGGCAGAAAAGGGGATTGAGTAGAGTGGACCTAAGAGACTCAAGAGGCATTTTCCAAGGTGAAGGGGGCTCTATGCAATACCCCAGTGCTATTGACATCAGACTTCACACAAACATTTCAGTTGCACACCAACGCCTCTGCTATGGCACTCGGGGGCTGTGCTGTCACAACAAATCCAAGGGGAGGAATGACCCATAGCTTTCACTAGTAAAAAGTTATCCAAAGCAGAGACACAGTATTCCACTATTGAAAGAGAGTGCCTGGCAATAAAATGGGGGGTTGAGCTGTTTAGGTACTATTTATATGGAAGGAAATTCCTTCTCATTACTGATCATGTGCCACTCTGGTGGCTCCAGACCTCAAAGACAGAGAACCCCAGACTAATGAGATGGGCCTTGGCCCTGCAACCTTTTTTCTTTTCTATAGAACACCAGCCAGGATGACTGAACATTGCAGCTGATTTCCTATCCAGGATGACAGAAGGCAACCAACCAGTGGCAATGACAATGGATGAAGAGAATGGATCTGGATGAAAGACGGTGACCAAGAGGCCCCAAAGGGGCTTTCTACTAGAGACGCTGAAGAAACCACACCAAGCCAAAGCGGGAAAGCCACCATGCCCTGACTAATTAAGGAAAACAGCTGGGGCTGTGGCAGCTCAAAGGCTGCCACAGCAAACCCAGCTGCTGGACTTCAAGCCCAGGACAGGGAGAGCGGTGCGGCAGAAGAAGAAGAAAAAAGCTGAGCTAAAAAAGAAAAGGAAGAACAGCTGAATCAAGAAGGCAGTGAATCACACACTGCCAGGGCGGACACAGATGAGAAGAGAGGGAATTTAAAGGGACACTGAGGGAGTGTCTGAGGTTGCTTTGGAGAGAGGGGCAGCAAAATGAAGGTAGAGAGGATGTCAAGAGGTGATGGGGGAAGGAACTGACCCTGGGGCTTAGAGGAAAACCCCGGTCCCTGGATTTACCTGGAGAGAGCCAGTGAAGAGATGGAGGCGATCGCTCTGTCATTGAGTCCAGTCCGGAGGGGTGGAGATAATTTCTCTGGAATCCTAGAAGAGGAAAGAGACACGGACGAGATTACACCCCAAGGAGGGGTAAATCTGTCCTGACCCTGAAGGTAAGGGCAGGGTTAGAATTGAGAGCTTGCTGTCTTGGGACCCATGCAGGGAAGAACAGGGCAAGCAGCCAACCCAGAGGAGGACCCCTCAACAAAGGAGTCCATAAAACGAGGACGAGACCCTTAGTCCAGCAGGCAAGCAACAACAAGCCCTGTGAAGATAAGCCAATCTCCTGAGCCTTTAATCAATCATTTTGTCTCCTAAAAGTGTTTGGTACCTCTCTCATTAACATCAAGGCATAGCAGAAGATTTCTGAAGGATGAAACACTACAATTCCAGTGGAGAGACCTTGGCTCCAGGAGGCACATCACTGGCCGCTTACACACATTAACAGATTTATTATAATTACTTTATTTAACAAAAATTTGCTGGTGGTACTTAAGGTTGTATCATTTAAAACTGGTGGTGCGCAATCTGTCAGAGTTTGGGAACTGCTGCCCTAGTCAATTAAATAAAACCCTCAGGCTGTGATAACCCCACAGAACAAGACACAGCTTCTGCCCCAGTTTCACAGTATTGCTACTGACGGATAATGCAAGGACATAGGCTTATGTCTCCACACTGAGGAATTTAAAATATGAACATACAGGCAACACATAAAAAATACAGAATATACTGGGTCGCCCAGAAGGAAGATTTTGTTTACAGTTGCTGTGGCATGATTTTACAATGAGGAGGGGAAAAGCACAACACACGGCTTTTGAATAGAATTTGAAAGCTCTGAGGTGAAAGTGACTGATAAGAAGGGGAAGAAAAAATGAATGGTGTCTGGAACTCTGGAAATCTGAAGAGAATTCCAGCTCTGAGGAGCAGCATAGCAAAGGACAGAGCACTACAGGGAAAACGATGGGAAAACCTTTTGTTGGAGCCAAGGGATTGATTGTGGAAAATAATTATAACCAAAGATGTAAGTAGTTGTGCATGGCTGTGAACTTGGGAGTGGACAAGAAGCCTGAATTTACAGAAGATAAGAGGAAACAAATGGAAGCTTTGAAGAAGGAATGGGTTGACTTACTGACAGTATTCCCAAAGATGATCTTGATTTTGTGTGAACTCTCAGAATGAGTACAGGATGACTATAAATTATTGTCTTTGAATGAAAAGCTGTACTGTGTAGGGTGACATCTTGGGTATTTTGCATTGATGTTACTTTCAAATGTGTTCAAAGAAGAATTAGATAAATTGCTGAACAGATTATTTATATGAAAATATTAAACTTATTTATATAAAAAAACCTGTCGATCCATGTTTTATATATATTCTAATGAGGTTTTTTTTTTTAAATAAAATGCTTGTAGAACTGAAAGAACCTCAGGTTTATAAAGTTACGAACTTGTGCTGTAACATGAATAGGGAACCACACTACTTTTAGGGAACTTTACCAAAATTACTCTATTAAAAATCTAAATAGTTGTAAAATTATCTAGGTTTTGTAATATATAAACTATTCTATTTAACAAATTAATTTCAAATGGTTTTAAAAATGAGAGTGTTCCAATGGGACAATACGAAGGCCAAAAAAGAGATCCATCAGCATTCATGATCAAGAATGTACACGGAGCTTCCCCCTGCTGTGCCTATCTTTTCAATTTTTGTCACAGGATGTTATCTTGAAAACTACAAGACTACTCCTTTGAGAGGACTCTTATGAACAGTTTTTCTTACAGAAAAATAGTGCACAGATTTGTTGATTTACCCTCATGGCTAGACTTTGTTTTTCAACTAAATGGGTCTTGCAGGTCCCTTTATATACTAAAACCACACTACTGATAAAAGTACTATTAGGACAATGGGAACAATTTACTGCTGTTTTAATGGAACAGTCAAATAATTGGATTAAATCTTGATGGTATCTCTTAGTACTCTTCTCTTCAGGGTTTTAGTTATTTATTTTTTACTATGATCAGTCATTCACAAAAGCATTTTACAATCCATCATCATCTACCTAGGTTGTACATTATGTTTAATTTCAATGTCCGTGAAAATTAGTTTGATCTTTAGGTGCTTTCTGTTATAAAGCCTGGGTGCAATCTTTGGAAGATAATTTTAAGCTATTTTTCAGTTTCTCATGGGTTAGTGGCCTGCATCATCTCCAAGCTCTCATTAGTTTCTGTCTTTCTTTATGTTGTACCTTACCCCCCAAAAACCCTTATCTTTCCTTCTGGCTCCTCAACAATTTTATTTTACACACAACTGTAGGGGAGTTTGAAGCTCCAGCACAGTGCTCCCCAAACCTTTCCTCAGCATGACCCCAATTCCTCAGCATGGCCCCTCACTCCCATCTCGCCACCCTCTACCCCCACAGGTGCCCCTCATTCCCTACCCACAGCCCCCTGGCCCTGCCAGTGCCCCTCATTCCCAACCCACAGTCCCCCATCCCCTCAGTTACCCCAGGGCCAGGGCCCACAGTCGCCTGCCCCGCAGAGCAGCACCCAAGCCCTGGATGCCACCCATGGGAGGCAGCAGCTGCTACAGGTGGAGTGGAGCAGGGAGCCTGCTTGCCCCGCTCCCCACATCCCCTCCCTTGCAGGCAGTGCAGCCAAAGTGGAGCCTGTTGTGGGGTGGGGGAGATGGAGGATGTGGGTTGCCCACTGTGGGCTTGGAGCTCCCCACTTTGCTACCCTCCCCGCAAGGGCTCTTCAGGCCAGCAGGGAGCACTGTGCCACTATGGCCACCAAACTGAGGCACCCCCTGCCTGCCTGGCAGCAGCAGGGGCACAACTCCATGTTGACACTACTGCACCTCACCTTGGCAGCCATGGTGGTGTGGCGCTCCCTCTTATGCCAGGTCCTGACCACCAGGCTGTGGAGGCAGCTACTGCCTGGAGCTGGTCCAGCCTAGCTGCAGCCCCATGCCCTGCTGTGGGTGCAGAAATCTTGGGGCGGGGGCACATGAACCGTCTGTTGCGTCGTCTCTGCTCCTTCCCTGCCACATTGCCTGTGGGCCCCCTCCCCCCACCCTTCTAACATCTCGCCTGTCCCCCTGGATCCCTATTTATCACAACTCCATCGACTGATGTGGTGACCCCATTTGGTATTTCCTTTGGTATTTCCTGGACAGCTACTTTATTCAAAACAAGACCGTTCCTAAATTTTTCAGCATCAGAGGTAACTAACAATACATTTTCACTCCCATAATTCTAAGGAAGCTTATAACATGTGCCAGGTCATAAGAGTTTTTAGACTTGCTGACATCCTAACAAAGATTTTAGTCTATCAGTAATAGTGTTTCTATATCAGCCTCTCAACCAGTAATGTCTCATTCGCGAGTTAAATGGTAATTCTTCTATTGGGGTAAGGCTATTATTTTGTATTTGTTTAGCATAAAAAAATCTTTCTAGAGCATGTTTTATGCTTACATTATACAGATAATACATTATACAGAAAAATAATATTAAAAAGGAAGTTAAAATTGAAAACTTAATCACCCAAAGTTTAGGAAATTTTAGAATTAAAGTTACCTACATTCTTAAGTTGACATCTTATTGTGATATATACCTGTTCTGCATCACATGAGAAATGTGTGGAAGACAGGACTAGAATCCATAGTATCATAGAAAGTTAGGGTTGGAAGGGACCTCAGGAGGCCATCTAGTCCAACCCCTGCTCAAAGCAGGACCAGCCCTAACTAGATCATCCCAGGCAAAGCTTTATCTAGGCAGGTTTTGAAAACCCCCAAGGATGGAGCTTCCACCACCTCTCTGGGTAACCTTTTCTTGTGTTTTACTACCCTCTTAGTGAGAAAATTCTTCCTAATATCTAACCTAAACCTCCCTTGCTACAACTTGAGACCGTTGCTTCTTGTTCTGCTATCTACCACCAATGAGAATAGCTTACCTCCATCCACTTTAGCACCCCCATTCAGGTAGTTGAAGACTGCTATTATGTCCCCTCTCAGTCTCGTCTTCTCTAGACTAAATAAACCCAGTTCTCTCAGTCTTTCCTCAAAACTCATGTCCCCCAATCCCCTCAACATTTTTGTTGGACTCACCCAATTTGTTCACATCCTTTCTGTAGTGGGGGGCTCAAAACTGAACACAGTATTCCAGATGTGGCCTCACCAGTGCTTAATAGAGGAGAATAATCTCTTCCCTTGACATACTGGCAACACATGTACCAATGCAGCCCAGAATTCCACTAGCCTTCTTGGCAACAATGGCACACTGCTGATTCATATTCAGCTTATTGTCTACTGTAACCCTCAGGTCCTTTTCTGCAGAGCTTTTGCTTTGCCAGTCAGCCCCCAGCCTGTACTGGTGCATGAGATTATTTCATCCTAAATGCAGGACTTTGCACTTGTTCTTGTTGAACCTCATGAGATTTCTTTTGGTCCAATCTTCCAAATTCTCTAGGTCACTTGGAATTCTAGCCCTACCTGCCAGTGTATCTACTACTCCCCCCAGGTTGGTGTTATCTGCAAACTTGCTGAGGGTGCACTCCATCCCCTCGTTCAGGTCATTGATGAAGATATTGAACAAAATTGGTCCCAGGACTGACCCCTGGGTGTAGTATTGCAGTAACTATAATTGCTTTGATTGCTTATATTGTTATTTTTCTTTTTATATAATGAAATATTTAACCAGTAAGATAAAGTTAATCTTATGATTTACTTTTTATAATATTTTGATCAGTCATTATTAGTGTTCTGGAATTAACCATCTATTTTAAATTTGCTATTGCTTAGCATAAATATATTTGACCTGTTGGTCTCGTGATTTTAGAACTTAAATTTAGTATAAGGCTTTTGATACAGTCTCCAACAACATTCTCTCAAGCAAGTTAAGGAAGTATGGGCTGGATGAATGAACTGTAAGGTGGATAGAAATCTCACTGGAGCATCAGGCTCAGAGAGTAGTAATCAATGGCTTGATGTCTCATTGGCAGCCAGAATCAAATGGGGTGCCCCATGTTGTGCGCACAGGGCATACAGTG